TTGTGCTAGGGTCTGCTTTACTGCAATGGCCAACTCTACTATCAGCCACAACTGGTCATTGCATGTCATCTCTTCATATGACACAATGTAAATACCTAATGCAACAAGAAAAACACTGGCAATGCCATTCCTTAAAAAAAAATCCTGTTTGCTAGTGTGTGTTTACTGTTGCCTTTACATTTTCCTCCACAATGATTTAAAATAAGCAGATTCAGACAAGTATTTCCAAAAAACAACTCTCATACAAAAACTGATTTGCAAAAAGACGTGTGAAACTATACTAGTTTTGTCCTGCTGCTTCTATCAGCTTCACCCGTTGTGTCAAACTGCATCTGCCGGAGCTGTGCTCCAGCTACTAATGAATCCAAAACAGAGAGGAAAAACACCACTCTTCTCCTCTCAAACACAACAATACCATTTCCATTTATAATTTCAATTGTTCATTTGCATGAGAAAAATTAGTTGGGTGACATGCATGATGTTTTTCTCGCTCTTCTTTTCTGCTTAATTTTCCCACTAATTATAAGCAGCAATGGCACATTATTTACATAAATAATTGTTGTTCCTTCTGTTCGCTCATATTTTCCTCCTTTCTTTCTCTGTCAGAGTTGTTTTGGCATTTGTCGTCCTCAGGGGCAAATCTCCTCTGAGAACATTTTCACTTCTCTCCTGACTCAAACATCTTGGATCTCAAACGCTTTTCTTTTATTCGCCTGATGTTTGTTGTGGTGTTTTGCTGTCCTTTGTTCAATAAATAGATTCATCCTACATTTTACTTTCCATAAAACTTCTAAACTTAAATATAAATCTGTCAACGTAGAAAGTTCAGCAATTATCTACTCCAGCAAGACTCATTGTTCTCATCTGTGTACCCTTGAAGAAAAACAAGCCTTGCATTAGCGCAGTATGAGCTCAGTATTATGTTTCAGAAAAGATTTGATTTTGAAATGTAAATGTTTCCTTTCTGCGATTGCAGGAAACTATTATTAAAAGGTGGGTCCCTAACTTTTCCCCCCATAAATAATACAAATCTGGTAAAAATAAACATTTGTAAAAGAATTAGACAACAATATGATTTTTTCATTTGGGCTGAGAGCTTATTGGTTCACTCCAAAAACACATGCATGTTTGGTTTGAAATGTAGGTACATCCGCTTTACGTCAAGGAGTCACCATGAACTAAAAACTACAAAATATAATTATAACCTATTGACAAATAAAATCTTTCATTTTACAGGAAAGTATTGAAAAAGCATTAGGGTTGATGACCTTTCAGATGACTTGAGGCGGCACAGTGGCTGAGTGGATAGCACTCTTGCTTCTCAGCAAGAAGGTTCTGGGTTCAAATCCCAATTGGAACAGGGCCTTTTTGAGTGGAGTTTGCATGTTCACCCAGTGTCTGTATAGGTGTGTGTGTGTGTGTGCGTGCGTGCATGCGTGTGTGCGTGCCTGCGTGAAATTTAGTATCACACTAGTAGTGGGTTGTTTCTTGGTATATATTTTTTAACCCAATAGGGACTGTGTGTAGATGCCAAAAATGTATTAAATAATTCCTTAAAGTAGACACAATTAAATGAATGAATAAATAAAATATTAATATATTTATGTCAAGAACATATCAAAACAGATACAGATGTAACTGAAGCCAAAGTCCAGTCCATCTTGAAAGTGTAATTAATGCCAATCACCACACATGATGATGCCCAGTGCAGCATCCTCTGCCTTTAGTCTGACTCGGCCCCTGGGGCTTTGTGCTTCGATGTCAGAGCCTGGTTACTCAGTAACAAGAGGAGCAAGAAACCGCAGGGAGAAGTATGTGTGGGGGGCACACTTTTAATTGAGGGGAAGAAATGAGCATCAGTGGTGTTGTGAGGACCATCTTCAGAGGCCAATTAATGTAGAATACAAAGCAGGCACGCAATCTGCTCCAGATTGTGTCTTGTGCATGGCTTGCTCACATGGGCCTTGACTCAGAGGTATCGTTACATTAAATTAATTTAAACACTTCTCCACTGCTCACAACCTCACCTCTATGGTGCTTCATCCAGCCCACCCCCATTATTACCCACAGTTCCCCTTACTATAAGAAACTCACCCTGCGGTGTATATTTATAACACCTACCGCACACACCTTTCCTTCGCAGAGCAGCCCACTGAGGAGGAGGCTTTCTGCGCTCGGACAAAAATAGCATGACTTCCCTCCTCGGATTGCTGCCCAACTGAGAGGCGCGCTCAAATGGCTGAAGAGTTTCTGGTTTTGGTCTAGTAGCTTCATATAAACATGTTCAGGAGAAATGCTGTGATATGAATCCTTGGGAAACTTGGTACTTGAGCCTAAAACATTTTTTATTTTTTATTTTTTCAAATAAATTAATGGTCATTGGTCAAAGCACCTAAATTACATCTACAGCTATTTACTTGTAGTAGATGTACGCAACATATATTTTTTAAACAAATACAGCCACAAGCAGCAATGAACGTGCCGCACAATGGATGGGGAGCATACCTGTGAGACGCCATCAGCGACAATTGTACTGAGTATTGAGAACTAAAGCAGCCAATTGTGCATTTTAAATGTAGCTTTATGGCAGAGGCACTTTGTAACTTTGCTTTCCCCTCAAACTTTGGAGCTGTAATTGCAAATAAAATTGCAATAATACATCTATTTTGAGCATATTTATGGCAAATGCAATCAAGCAAAATCTGTTTACTTTGATCATTTGTCACAAGGACAACTGCTATGGACAGTTCTCTCTTGTCTAATGTAAACTCATTGTGGTGCACTCTACTGTCCTATGTTGAAGCTGTACTTACATACAGTAAATAAGAAAAAGTGTCCCTCAACAAAACTCCATCATAACTTTTCTTTGTGTCACAGTCATGCAGCACTGAGACCATTGTCCGTGTGAGCCAAGGTGAGATCATGTCTCACAACCAAAAGGCGTGGTCAGAATTAGCTCACCTTGACTGCCAAGTGAGCTAATTTTGAAGATCTGTTTGTACCATACAGTACAATCTGTGCTGGAGCAAAATATTGTACTTAAGAATACGAAAGGAAAATTTAGTTCAGACTTTTGTGTGTAATGCTACTCTAAATCATGACCAAAGTCATGATGGATGCTCAGCAGTGATCAGGGTGAAGCTCTGCATAAGAATAGAGTGAAAAGAGAAAAAGGCTGATGTATGTCTGCCCTGATGAAGGTCTGAGTAAGTCTAGAGATAAGGAGGGCTCACAAAGAACAGAAACCTAATTGTGAAAGAGAAAGATGCAGGCTCGCTCTGCGAGATGCCTAATTTATAAGAGCTCACGGCTGAGGTAACGTGACAGGCCAAGAAATGGTAGGGACTAGGGAAGAGTTTGAAAGATTCCTTTGTCTTTCAGATCAGGCATTTCATTTACTGTGTTTCACTCATCTATATTTTGCTTACTTACTTTATTCTTTCTACACCAACAGTGGTGAATTCTTCACTGTGGAATCTTAATCACAGTTTGAATAAAATATTTGCCTTGGCTGCATATTCTCTACATCAGTGTCTCCCAAAGTGGGGTCCGCGGCCCCCTGGTGGGCCGCGAGGGTACTGCAGGGGGGCCGCGGGAGGTCATTAAAAAAAAATAATAATAATAATGTAATTATTTTATGTTAAATTTATAATGTTTTGTTTGTAATATTAAAATATTTGTGTTCATTATTTGACTTTAATAATCCACTGTAATCATTTTTGTATTGCAATGTTTGTAGCAGAGGCTATTTCCCCAAAATAAAATAACCAGAAGAGCCTATTCTTAATGTTGTCTTCTTGGTTATTATTTTGGGGGGCCACGCAGACCCGTCATATTTTTAAGGGGCCTCGGTGTTACTGAGTTTGGGAATGGCTGCTCTACATCCTGTGTACAGTGGATTTGGACTTGACAGGCAGAGGAATACTTTTGTTTGTTAAACAATGTCACTGTTTTTTTTTTAATTTGCATAAAGTTATTATTTTATGCCACATTTTAATTTACTGAGTTGGGTTGCTCTGCTTTCCTGCATGCCTGTGTAAAGTGTCACCTCTCCAGCTGGGTTGCCCTTGCTCTGCTGCCTGTCTGCTCTTCCTCCACCTCTCTATCTGCAGCTCATTGCCGATGCAGGGAGCATAGCCACAGTCGTAGACCTCAGCGTGGAAACACCCAGCAGACAAGAAAAATGACGGCCGGCGCAATCTCATTTTCTGAGGGGCTGCAAGTCAGGCAGGAAATGGCTATTATTCCATCGACACTGTCGGTATTAAGTTATTTCCTTCTCTAAATACGAGAATGTTCATGAATATCTATTGAGCTCCAGGTGCAAGCGCTAGAGGTTTTTGTCGCCACACACTCCAATGATTGCACCCCTATATTCTGCCCGGTGCACCCTCACTTCTGAGATTGAAGTGAAAGACAATGGTAGTGGAAATTGGCTAATAAATCCAGGAAAGGCAAAAGGCTGTTTGAGCAATGCGGGCAGCTCATGCATGCTTTTAAGAAGAGGAAAACCTCTAGGTTTGTTCAAGTGAGAGCTTTTCCAAAAGGAAGTGACCGGGCAACACAGTCTGATCTTTTTTCAAGCATAATGCATATTTCTTATTGTGGTCCATTGCTGCTTGCTCAAAGCTCTTTTATTTAAAAGGAAAAATACGGAAATGTTAGTCAACTATTGGGCAATAGGTTGTTTTCCCAAAAAAACATAACATAAATAATAGAAATGTTTTTTCTCAATAGCAAAAAACATTACTTTTCTTACTGATTCAAATATTACAATACGGCCCTAACTGAAAGAGAAAATAAATGAAGTGGCTGCTTTGAGAAAAAAGATTTGGAGTGCACAATCTCAAGCTCTACAACATAGTGTGTTCAAAAGCAGTGTAAAAGACTACATTATGCAACAGGGCAACAACCCTACCGCTTCAGACGTGCTGTCCAGCTTGTTGATGAAAAGGCATCAGATGAATCCATACAGTAGGTCCGGTCCACAGGCCTCCAGGTCACCTATAGGGATGTAAAATGGTGAAGGTTACTGAGAAAAAGAGGTCTAAACTGGAACAGGGCAGACAACAATAAGAATCTCCTCATTCAAAAAAATACAATAAGTCCGTGATGACCCTCTATTAATCAGATTACTTCCATTGTTGGTTGGTGGTGGTAATAGGTGGCTTACAAGGCGGCCAAGCACTTTTCACACGGACCGTGAAAACACATTTTGGGAGAGAAAAGTGTTCTCTCTTCATACACAAGTGCTGTATCCACACTCATGGGGTTAGATACACACTCACAGATAGTAGATTTTGCCCCCAAATTAGGAGTTTTTCCATACAAACTTTTGGAGACCAACAGCACAACAGAGCGTGACGGTGACAATGGCGCTTATCCTATCCTGCTCAGTGAAGGTAAAGTAATCACTTGAAAATCACCAGAAAAGTAATCACTTGCTTGGGGTTTTATCATGTGTGTCAAGTTACCTGTGTTTTAGCAGAGGGACCACTGCTCAATGTAAGCTAGGTCTAAGTTTAACACGTTTGAAATAGATAGAGTAGGCACTTGAACAGAACTCAATTGTAATTACTAGTTACAGTGGAAAGGATCATTTTTCACAGAACACATGACGAAGACACCAAGTATTGTTTTGGGGTTTTTCCTCAACATAATGGTTTGGCTTAGCATGCTATTGCAACACGTGGCGACATACCCAGTCACGCGGTCATCCGCAGGTGGAGCCAGTCCAACTGATGATCTTCTGTTGTGAGGTATTTCGTGTATTAATGTTTACCACTAAAATCTAAATTTGCCTTGTTTTGGGGTCGTTTCATGTGTTATCATCCTCGAAAAGTTGGGGATTTTCTTTTTTAGTCAGAACTGCCACAAGGCACTTGGCCTCTCTACTGCCCCCACATGGCGAAAGGGGGAACATCAACTTGTTCAAGTAAATGTTTAGTGACAAAGGACAAACTTAACCAGGTGAATGTGCAAGTTAATTAAATGCAACTGAAATAGGCTTTACAAACAATAATGGGAACTTCTACTTTGACAATATGTTTGGGTTATTGTCAGTAACATTAAGTCGATGTCTCCTCAACAGCAATACGTTTACAATGATAAATCAAATTATGTCAAATGGACTATAACAACTGTATTATTAGCATTTAGGTGGATTTACTCGATATGTGCATATTTGGAAATGCAACATACATCACAATCTCAGTGCAAGCAACCAGAGCAAAATGTAGCCATGAAAACAAAGCCTAATGATGACCAGAGGTGACCAGTTCCTCCAGAGCACACACATGGGGATCTGGGTACTGTGTGTCCAGTCACAGGCAGTCCATCGTGGCTCAGACAGCCCTACAATTGATTGAAGGTGCTGGACCATAAATGAAGGTATTGATTTGGAGGTCAGAGTCGCAGGATGAGGTCCTGAAATAAATTGAAATAAACATATCAATACATCAAGTATATTACACCCCAAGCACACACATACAGTTTCATAGATATATTATAAGGCTTGTTTAGCTTAATGGGAGATTGATTCATTCACATATAATTGCTTTCACTGATAACAGGATAAAGAGTGAAAAGCATAGCTGTCTAATGGCACATTATGAGTTTTTATATGTGGTTAACCTCACAGCAATAATCATTTCATAAAGATGTAAGAAATTGTGTTCTGTAGGTTTGAAAGAAATCTAACTAACTAAATAATAACCTGCCACCTATGTATTTATAAAAGAAGATTAAACATGTGAGCAAAAAAAACAATACTAAAAGCATTTAATCTGCATAAAATAAGAGCAAAGAGAGCACTTTAAGGAGAACACTCAAGAAAGGTTAAGGCTGTTCCGATTTATGGGTCAGGGAGAGACTTGTATGGAGGAGCAGCTGAAATGACTTGGCTGAAAGACCAACCGAATCTCACTGTAAAGATGTAGCCGCCAATTAAGACAAAGGTCACAACATAAAAGAAGAACCCTCTGCACAAAGCAGGCAGCTCCTTCTTTTCTGCCGTTTCACCAGCGCACCCAATCCAACAAATGAGTCATTACCTTTTATTATGACAACTTGTTTTATGGTCGAGGTTTCATGTGATTATTCCAGCGAGTTGAGGTGTGCGGTTTGAAAAGATTCAGGTCCAGTGACATTATTTTTGTAAAAGGATGAGCTGCTTACCGGTTGTTCGTTAAAGCTGGGGAACCTTATCTTCAAACAGCAATAAATTAAACTATGTAATAAAATCTTTGTAACTAGTTTCTCGTGCAATCGCTTCTATCACAAATTTTCTCATGCATGAATTTCTGGCCTCTGTTTCTGCAGAAAAGTGACAAAGAGTCTAACACCCTCATCCAGCCAATCAGCTCAAAGTGTCAAAAGTGACTCACAGGGCACATGTTTTCTATTAAGACAGTATGTTGCGGTCTAATATTTTTCACAAGATTTTACTTCAACCAGACTCTTTCTGTTGGGACAAACAATGTGTGTTATTTATCAAATAAATAACACACATTGTGTTAAGATAACTTTAAATGCATTTTTGCACTGCGCCATAGCTGTTACTTTTTATAAGCCTATAGTTTCCTTTCACTCAACACGTACAGATTGAACAGAAGATAATAATGAAGGCGTGAAACTCTGCCATCTCACACTATATTTTTATCAATTAAAGCTTTTTTGTTCTACACTAAAATTGCAGCGACTATCATGAAAAGCCTCAGCCCTGCATAGTTGTGCTTCTTTAAAATTAACAAGCTCTCTCTTTTATGTTTGTAGTTCCAATTTAATAACCACATGATGAAACAAGCCATTTAGCACAGAAAAGCACAGAAGCGAATATCTCCTAATGAAGGCGGACTAATGTTTTTCAAGGAGTGTTAATCGTGCTTGTAATTGTAAGTGTGTGAATTAAACAGAATTTAACGTTAATTGTAACAGCAGCCATTTTCCTTCTTAAAGGATCTTCATTAGACCCAATCTAGCTGTTATTTAAGCCTTGATGTAAAACACTTGCATTATAAAGACAGAATAAAATGGATTGGAACCATTCCTTACTACCTATAACATGATGTTCCTACAGGTCTTCATGGCAGTTTGACAGATCCAAACCAAACATCAGAGGTCACTGCACCAAGACCCAGGGAGAGAGAAGCATATCATGGGCACATCGAAAGGCCTTTGGTTCCCCCGCAGCTCTCCGTCTGCCTTCACCTCCACCCAGGACCAGTCATGCATGGCACTTTTCCTTGGCTCATTTGCCGAATATAGTTCCAGGCTTGTCCGAACAGTGGCAGGTGGGGGTGTAAGACGTGTCAGATCCAGCTGTACCCCAAAAGAATCGAGATGGCGGAGACAAGAATAAAACCTCTGTAAGTACAAACCAAGTTTTTATGAATTCATATAGCAATAAAGATAATTATCAGGAGTGACATTATTCAAATGTATTCTTGCACTGAACAATGCCGACATAAAATCCATGCTTTCAGTCATATCCCTTCACATTTACTGTACAAATCTAATATCTATTATGGTCATCTTTTAGCACATGATTAACACCGAACATTCTAAGATCTTGAGCTAGGCTTGGTCCTGAAAGAGAAAAGTCAGCACAGAAAGATAATTTGAATTCACCAACTGTTGAATTTAGGATCTTCTTACTGTCTCATGACAAAATACCCAAATGTTTTCCGTTTATTTAATGCCACAGTCACATAAATTGTTCAAGTATTCCAACTGTTGATGGTCCCTCTATAATCTCCATCATGTTGACACCCTTCAGATGAGAGAGTGAAGAAGTGCGGCATTTCTCCACAAGGAGACTTTTGGCTGCAGAATCTGTTTTCATATAAATTAGAGTGTGTTATCTGTACAATGTGAGGCAATGTCAAATGCATCTTTATGATTGTAGACAAATAGACTTTCAGTTAATATACTTGTAGTACATTGGTCTTAAACTCTTTTCAGAATGAATCAGTATTGAGTTTTGGGCCTCTTAAATGATTGATTTTCAAAGTGTTCTTGTTCGAATCCAACAATTTTTTTCCTATTTCCCCTGGATCCCAAATCAATGTTATGGACATCTGTCCTGGTCTCTGTGGGGATTGCAGAGGGGAAGACAAGGAGGAGGCCAACAAGTGGAACACAAACACACCTGTCTCCTGCCCCGCTCTCTCGGGAGAGTGGGCAGAAGGCCGATCCGGTCCATCTGAGTCCAGCAGCCGCCTCTGCCAAAGCCCGGTCCCCGCAGAGAGTGGCTGGACAGCGTTGGGAGAGGGCTGGCTCTTTTAAGTGTGCAGCGTGCCACTCGCCCCCCTCCAGTGGGGGGACAGAGCTGTGCTGATATAGCCGGGCACGAGGGACCCAATCGATCTGAAATGGGTCATAGAGGTCAGAGCACATCAATGAGATCACAGGAATACACAATGTGCTCAGTAGTATTTTGCACATCAGCATTTGACTTCTGCTCTGAAACAAGTTTTTTTTTTCAAGTTCAAGTGTATCATTGTCACATACTCATTTATATGCAGTGAACTTCTTATGCATGGTCTAAGAAAAGAAGGGCAACTACTGCATGAATTCACATTTAAATTCAAATTGAATCTGTTTTGGAACCCCTTTTGGAGTACAAACAAATGTCTGGACTCTATGTGAAGCTGAGGCCGTGTAGTTTGGTGTTTGCAAAGACAGATTAATAAATTGTGTGAAAAGTTTACAATTTGCACTTTGCCAAGCAGTTTTTTTTTTCTTGAGCAAATATTTTCAAATTCACTGATAATAACAAAATGTTGAAAAGGGAGGAATACGACTCGTTGACAAATGTTCAAAACTGAGATGAACTCTTCAACTCTAATTATAAGTAGGAACAATCTCCGCACAGAGAAAGACCTAACTCCAAAATCCTCCTTAATCTAATAAGTAACTATAGAGCAGCTGCTGTCTGGGTTGTATGGTCTTATTTTAGATTGTCGAATGACTTGGTTTTTAACAATTCCCATATCACAGCTGAGGCAAATTTAACATGCAATGAGATATAGCGGCCTGTAATAAAGCAAAAAAAAGTTCAAAGGAATACATGAAACATCTCTATAAACCTTTTTGCAAATTTTTGGACTGTATTGTATTTGTGAGTTTGGAGTTTAAACTTATTCTGATTCAGTTTGATATGACTGAAAACAAGGGGATACATCCATATTTTGATTTTTCACACTAGCAGAAGTTTAATAAATATATCTGATCAATTAATTGACGAACAAAAAGTAAAATGGGGTTAGAATGCAAATGTTCCAGAAGATACTCTTAAGAGGTTGTATGCAGTTTTTCATAGAGAGCAAAGGGTATCCTTGGATCTGAACTTGTCTTTCTCTTGACCCTTTTTTCTTCTTTTGCCCTAAATTAGCTGCGAAAAACATTTGGACACTGATCCGTGCTCTGGCCGCTTTGCTCTCACATCATCCAATGAAGCGACTCCGGCTACTAATGAGAACAGTGCAGGACTCCAGGGTCAGCTCCTCTCCTCTCAGCCCTCTGCACTTATATCTAAAGCCATGTAGTAAAAGAAGCACAGATACAATTTACACACTCTTACTTAATTAGCAACAGGGGTCATTGTGTCTGCATTAAATCAGCCATGTTAACCCTGAGTGACTCCAGGAGATGGAGACAGGGCAGCATCATGCCATTGAATTGTTTTTTATGAAGTAGGGTTGATTTAGATAATTAGATTGTTGTCGTCTGAAGACTTTGTTCATTCAAGATTCCGTGTTCTTTCGAGTCATAAATAATGGCTATGAGATTTCAGTCTGATATTGCGAAGGAACTGTGATAATAAATATGTGTCATTCGTCATTCATTGGGCTGGATTTAAAATAATAGGTGGAAAAATCTGGAAAAAACAAATGAATGATACTAAATTAAATAAACAGCAATATATTTAATACAAAGAAAATCCCCAAAAAACGTACACACCCATATTCATATTCAAGAATTTGTGGAAGTAACAGTATCAGATGGTATAAATGATGGGAAACTACTTTCAAATCCGCAAATGTTGGCCCTATGTTCAGTAAAGTTGCTTGTGTTGTTTAGACTGACAGAAGTATTCAAACAAATCACATATGTGCTGTTGCAGTCATTTCTAAAGCCGTTGTGAGGAGGGTAAAGGCTGACAGGAGATACTTAATGCCAGTTTTTGTTTCATGTGGGTAGCCCTGTACATTTCTGATAAACTATACAAATCTAACAGTTTTACAGAATATTCCATTATATGTTCCCAGCTTAATTTCAAACCATGGAGAGTCTGTAACATCCCACTGACGCAACATATAGAGAACTTATACATGTTACACCAAAACAAACTCAATCATTTCTCCTTCTTGGGTGGAAAAATGACTGATGTGTATCTACAGTGTTGTCATGTCCTCTCCATATCCACCTCTGCTCTGTTTTGCCTTTGTTCCTAGTCCCACAATTCCATGTCCAGGTCCCGCCTCTGGGGACTTCAGGCTGGCATGAGTCTTGTTTTCACGCCTCCTTCTTCCCTCGTCTTTTTCTATGTACTGTAGGCGCTTGGCTAATTACCGGCACATTACACCCCCCCCTTTCTGTGCTTTTACCTCCATATATCTCCAATTCCGTCTCATTTGAGAAAAGGGGGGATCCAGAGATGCGTATTAATGAAGCAGTGAAGGGCAGGGGGTGACTTACCAAGTGAGGAGCCAAGAGGAGGCTTTTTGAATACAGAAACAACCAAGTTCACGCAGCTCTCCTTTCCTTCTCTCCTTTTCCACACGTCCTTTCCGGCATTCTCTTACTTTCAAGCCTGCTCCCTCCTCTCTCCTTTGCTCTCCGGCTTGCTGCCACTGCTGATTTGAATAATTCAGCACAAGCCGGTATTCTCCTGGGCCCCATTGTCTGTGAGCGGCAGGAGAATGAGGAGAGATAGGGGGAGAGAGGAGAGAGAATTGCGGGTGCATGGGGTGGAGGTGGTGTGCGGGTCCGTCCTGCTTGCCTTCACCTAGCTGTGGCGTAAATCAGTGCTAATGAGGCAAAGGAGGAATACCTAGGCCCCAGTACAAAAGCTTTGACTTGCACACAGGTAGACATGCACATTAGCAGTCGGCACACACATAGCACCTTTATAACCTTCAGTGCACGCCAGTGTTTTGGTTATTGACTTGTTGCTAACCCCAGCTCCCAAGTGTGCCCGCAACCAAGCGAATGCTCAATGTCATTGGAAAGAGAAGAGATATTGGCAAAAAGAGCAACAAATACAGGAAAACAATCAGTGCAACTAATCAATGAGGCTACGGCTAAGGTCAAAGTGAATGGTCAGTAAGCACATGAGCAACGTCGACTATACACAAATGGTTCAAAGACCAAATGTACATGAATTTTAAGACTTTAGCCTGACAGGGTGTTTTTAGATTATTCAATTGACAAGTTTTGTTGGGGATCCAATAGAAAATTCCCAACTTCCCCAATGGCTTTTATGTAGAGGACAGATGAAGTGTGATAGACAGAAGCCATTTTTTCTCCTAAACAGTCAGACCAATGTAGCTATGGCCACGTTTAGACGGAGACACTGCAGATACGCTGCAAAGCAATTTGCAAAAATGACCAGGCTCCTTATTCAAAGTGCACAGCATTTACACGACAATGTAGCTCTAGCGCCCGGCCAGTAGTGGGTATTGGAACTTTACGACATAGGCGACCCCCAGCAGTATAACCACTTCCTCCACAACATCCTTCTCAGGCCACCGCAAAGACGTAAAAGAATGCACCAACATCATTCTGCATTTCACAGTAGCAGCGAAAATGGAAACTGAAACTAGAGCTTGGCGTGGTTTCGTAGAACACGTCCTATCCTCACACCATGGGATTCTCCTAGGACCCCATGGACGGTGATCAACCACCTTGATTAAATTCCCAGGCGCACACACCTCCATTGGTGATTTGTTCCCATAAGAAAAAGTGTCAGTAAAAACTACACCTTCATGAATATGGACCAATGCCAGAGCTTTGTACTGTCTTCTTTGTGACTTCAGTCAAATAGCTCTCTCTTCGGAGATGACATACTAGGCCGTCAGATCTGAGCTCTTTACTTTCTCGTACCAAAAAAGAAACATACAATGTCTAGACATCAAAGAAATGATGCAAATGTTGTGAAAGGACTTTCTTTTGTGCGTCTTGTGAACTGGCTGTCAGGCACGGGTAAAATGCCTTTTAAATCGTTTGGGAGTGGAGACTCAGAACTAACTATTGCAGATTATTTCGATCAGCGCTGCCTCAGTTCTATATTTGGCTCCAGTGGGTGAAGAACTCAATAAAAATACAATGAGTATGGGGGAGTATAGAGAAGCTGTTCCCTGGGCACATTTTACAACTGTAATAATGTAATGTAGGGAACGCTTATTGGGTTGTTTATCTGAAATAACAAGCTAATAACCTGTTAGATGGGCTCAATTAAGCAGCAAATCATTGCAAACCCATTGCATGCTGGGGCTTTCTCTTTATTTGCCTTTGGTTTTTCCTCAATACAAGATGTTTAAACACAAACAGGGGAACTACAGGCAGATATAATGTACTACAAATATGCAAAGATGTTTCAACCTTAAAGAAAACATATATGGCTGCAAGATTATGAGAGATCAATGAGAGAAACAAAGAAATCTGACATCTGTTTTGCAGCTGAGCAGCATTATGGTGTGCTTGGACTTACACACAGGTAGCCAGTGAAGGAATGATATTTATAAAAGGAGATAAGTGAAGCTGGACTGAATTAAAATGCCTGCAAATAATCACAGAATATTTGTACTCAACATGCATTTAAGTTAGGAACAAGAATCATGTATGAAGAAGACATTGAGTCATATACCTCGATGTGTATTATGACTAAGGCCCACATACAGGTTCTATTCAGGGCACACAGCTATAAAAAAGCACAGATGGTTTTTGAAGACATGTCTGCACATAGAGGCTCAATTTGTGTCTTTTAATGTTTCTACTTGATCTTTGATGAGTGCCTGGATTTATACTTGGAAGACTCAAGTTTGGGGAAAAAAACCCATTGGTGGGATTGAAGGTGTGTGATCGCAGCTGCTGTTTCTGCACCAGCTCAGACCAAAAGTAAACATCCCCAGTGCGCACACACACTAATGCTATCGTGATATTTGTACTGTCCCTCAAAATGTTACCGATATTACGGTATTACTGCCAGCGGTATTATAACGCCTAGCTCTACACCTTGGCGTCACTATAGACAGTGATTTTAAATTTGACAAGCAGGTCAACAGTGTTTTAAAATCGAGTTTTTATCATCTGCGGCTTTTATCCAAGGTTAAAACTTTTTTATCTTTTAACCTTTTTGAAAAAGTTATGCACGCTTTTATTTCTTCACGTCT